ATTCAGAAGAAGACATGGAATAAGGGGTATTGTTGTTAATGTCTGATGGATCTTGGCTGAAAGCAGAGACCACCAGAAAGAGGTTCACCTGTGCTTTATTGACTACACAAAGGCCTTCAATTGTGTGGATCATGACAAGCTATGGGCAACATTGCAAAATATGAGTATTCCAGAACACTTTATTGTACTCATGAGGAACCTGTACATAGACCAAGAGGCAGTTGTTTGAACAGAACATGGGAATACTGAATGGTTTAAAATTAAGAAAGGTGTGAGACAGGTTGTATTTTCCCCCCCATACTTATTCAACCTGTATGCTGAGCAAATAATCCAAGAAGCTAGGTTATATGAAGAAAAAGGTGGCATCAGGATTGGAGGAAAACTCATTAACAACCTGCTATATGAAAATGATAAGATTTTGCTTGCTGAAAGCAAAGAGCACTTAAAATACTTACTGATGGAGATTAAAGACCACAGCCTTCGGTATGGATTGCATCTCAATGTAAAGAACACAAAAATCCTCACCACTGGACCAATAAACAATATTCTTATCAATGGAGAAAAGATTGACATTGTCAAAGACTACATTTTTCTTGGATCAACCATCAACACTCATAGAAGCTGCAGCCAAGAAATCAAACAACATATTGCTTTAGGCAAATCTGCTGCACAAGACCTCTTCAAAGTGTTAAATAACAAAGATGTCAGCTTGAGTATTAAGGTGCGCCTGATTCAAGCCATGGTATTTTCAATAACTTCATATGCATGTGAAACATGGACAGTGAATAAGGAAGGTTGTAGAAGAATTGATGCATTTGAGTTGTGGTGTTGGAGAAAACTGAAAGTACCATGGACAGTCAAAAGAACCAACAGTTGTGTGTTGGAAGTAGAGCCTGAGTGCTCCTTGGTGGCCATACTTCAGACATATTGTCAGGAAGGACCAGTCACTGGAGAAGGATATCATGTTTGGTAAGGTGGAGGGGCAGAGAAAAAGAGGAAGACCCCCAGCGAGATGCATTGGCAAAGTAGCACCATCAATGAGCTCTAGCATGGCAATTGTGACGTTAGTCTAGGACTGATAAATGTTTCATTCTGTTGTGTATAGGGTCACTATGAGTCAGTACTTACTCAATGGCACCTTACAACAAACAACAATACTGGAAAGAATGGGAATTCCAGATCACTCATGAGGGATCTGTACACAGACCAAGAGGCAGTCATTAGAACAGAAAAATGGGATACTGAATAGTTTAAAATCAGGAAATGTGTGTGCAAGGGTTATATCCTTTCACCATTCTTATTTAATCTGTATTCTGAGCAAATAATGCAAGTAGCTGGGTTATATAAAGAATAACGTGGCCATCAGGATTGGAGGACGACTCATTAATAATGTGAGATATGTAGATGATATAACATTGCTTACTGAAAGATAATACTTACTGATGAAGATCAAAGGCTAGAGCCTTCTGCATAGATTCACCTCAATGTTAACAAAACAAAAATCCTCACTACTGGACCAATAAATAACATCATGGTAAATGGAGAAAAGATTGAAGTTGTCAAAGATTTCAGTTTGCTGGTATCCACAATCAGCACTCATGGAAGCAGCAATCAATCAATCAAATATGTACTACATTAGGCAAATCTGCTGCAAAGACTGCTTTAAAGTGTTCAGGAATAAAGAACAGTTTGAAAACAAAGGTGTGTCTGTCTCGAGCCATGATATTTTCAGTTGTCTCTTATGCATGTGAAAGTTGGACAATGAATAAGGACATAAAAGAATTGATGCATTTGTGTTATGGTGTTGGAGAAGAATATTTCAAGTACCCCGGATGGCAAGAACAACAAACAAATCAGTCTTGCAAGAAGTGCAGCCTGAATGCTCCTTGGAAGGCAGGATGGGGCAACTTTGTCTTGGGTACTTCAGACATGTTATCAGAAGGGACCCATCCCTGGAGAAAGACATGGTTGGCAAAGTAGAGGGTCAATGAAAAAGAATACGGTCCCCAAGGGAATACTTTGACACTGGCAGCAATTGTGAGGATGGTACACTATTCTAAATACTTTACACAGAATGAAGAACTTATGTGAAGCATAATAATGTAATAAGCAAGGCAGTATGTTCCAAATTCATTTCAGTATTTCAATGTCTAAAAATAACTACAGTACATTATTTTAAACTTGTTTTTTTAAAAAAAGTTTATTGTGTTACAAAATGTTAAATACTAAAAGCTAAAAACATATAAATTCAGGTGAGGCTATATTAAAATACACACATACCCTTCTTTGCAAAATTACTAAAGGTTGAATTAAACAGATGCTTTAAATAAAATAAAATTCTTTTTGAAGACTTTTATTTTTTTCTAATTAACTATATTGTTGTTGGTTGTTGGCAAGTACCGTGAAGTAGGTTCAGACTCATGGTGATCCTGCACAGGGTTTCCAAGGCTGTAAATCTTTACGGAGCAGAGCGTCTCACTTTTCTCCTGCGGAACCGCTGGTAGTTTCGAACTGATGACCTTGAGGCTGGCAGCCCAACTCGTAACTATATTAGTGTAATGTTATTTCTAAATAGTGAAAAGATTAACTGTCTTAAAAGATAAATTTATCCAATTTTCCAGTCTTCTGTTACAAAGCTACCATCTTGGCTTAGACCGAAGTGAGTTTCAGTTACGTTACTGAAATTTCCTTATTACAAGTCCAGTTTCCTATAATATGAGGATAGAGTAGTCGGAAGTATACAAAGATCTAAATTGCATGAAAACCTGCCCCTTCTCCCCCCTACCTTCCACCCCACCAAAAAAATAAAGGTTGTATTTCAAACATTGTATCTCCTCTAGTTAAACTGGTTGGTATATTGAAACGGATCAGTACAATGGGTACATCCTTCCAGAAATAGTTTTTCAATTAAAAAAGGCAAACAAAACTCAAGAAAAGCACTGATTCCTCCAAAAGAGTTTGTAAGTATTTTTAAATTTCTTAAATTGTGTAAATTGAAGAATATTTGAAGACTCTCCATCCAAAAAGCTTTAAAAAATAATTTGATTACTAGCTCTCAACAGCTGTCACATCTGGGTGTTGGGGTCTCTCATACAAGGTAGTGAGATGATCTTTAATTAACAATAAAAATTAAAGACTGCATAATTATACATTTAACACCAATGGAGAACCAGCTTCCAAACTCAATTCCCAGTTGGATCAAACAACCAAAAAAGAACTAATTAAGGTCTATTTAAATATTAAATAGTATTTTTAAGAAAAGAGTTGCTTTAGCTATTTCTCCATTTCCTAGATTAACAGTTAACTGATTTAGAATTTTAAACGTTGTAATTCATAGAGAGAAGAATATGCTTATGAAGAATGAAAGGCGATAAATTGTGTTTTACCAGTTCTTAAATGTGAATGAATTTTCTATAAATTTATTATAGTATCTATTCTTTGGAGTATTAATCTTTTCAAATTAGGGATTTGTAAATAGTTGATTAAAGCAGAAATTTTAAAAAAATTATAGTACATTCTATTATCAACAGTTTAATTAAAATATTTCTTGAAAGATATTGGTAGAGAGTTTTTCAATGTTTTACTCTGCAAATGTTGATATACAACTGAGGGCTAACTGCATGTGATCTTAATACTATAGTATAAGACAAATCAAGCCTTTGAACAGCTGGAAATAGTATGTGTATTCCAATATTACTGGAAATGGAAAGAAAAATATATTTTAATACTGAATTACAGATGAAAATTATGCTAGCAATAAACAGTCACCTGGTTGCTCATCTCTAGGCTTGGGAACTTCTAACGTAATTACTTCCATAGATACATGATCAAGAGAAACTAAAAATCTGCCCCCTATTCTAGCACTGTCTTCTCTACATGTATCAAGTCTTTGATTTATATATTTTTTCCTTTTAACTTGCTGGGTAATCTTGAAGGACAAGATTTGTACTACTCTTTTAAAAATTAGCTTGGAGTCCTTGCAAAGAAATCAAACAATTCAAGTCACTAAAATCCTAATCTTAGTAAATAGACTATAAGTAACTCTTGAGCTTTGATAGCAAATTCTCTAAAAGCATGCTTTCTTACAGCCATGCTGGGTCAGTCACGTCACTCTTACCAACATCTTGGTTAATCTAGAGTCAGAATGGTGAATGTTTTCAAGCTAAGCAGGCACTCAATGCATTTCTCACTTGCCACCCTAGGGAAGCCCTGGGTGGTACAGACTTTGTCCAAAGGAGGGAATCCTGTTACACACATTTCCTCCAGCATATACCTCTCCTTCTTCTTTTCCCTTGATTAGCAGAGCTATTTTTCTGCTTTCAAATAGAAAGATATTTGAGCACAAAAACATACTTCCTTCTTAGGAAATATACATAATTTGGGTAAAATTCAGGGTTTCTTGTTCAAACATTAAGAATTTCAAGACTGTGACGGTTTAGCACTGAACCAAGCTCAGAGACTACAAACCCATACAGTCAGCTCTGTTAGATTTTCTGCCTAATCAGAATCCCAGCGACAAGGTGACTCCACTGGCTTGTCTACCATGAAAAACATTTCCCACCCCCCACCGCCCTTTCCCATGATGGTTCAAACACTGTTACTAACTTGGGATTAAGTGGCATTTCACTTTCAAAACGCCATGCAAATTTCTATCCTAAAATCTCATGTTAGACTCTACAGTCTTCCCCTAGATTTTTCATTATAGAAACAGTCATACTGGGTCTCCAAATGTCCCGATTTTAATAGAGCAATTAGACATGATTAAGCTTCTGTATTAATCCTACATGATAAAAAAAGATTTAAACATTTTTTAACTGGGAGTTCTTAATATCACTGAAACAACATTCTCTTAAAGGGGAAAAGTAGCTTACAACAACTTTATACAATGGGTTAAAGCATTAGTTTTAGCCTACAGTATATCTTGTTTCCCTTTAGTTTATTCAAAGAGAACTAACTAGTTATCACATTAGCTGTATGGTGATATATATGTTTTTAAAACAACCGGGACCCAGTGGCATCTCATTCTACATAATAATAATTTTAAAATAAAGTATATGCATATAAAAGCTCCAAGCTACATTATTAAGCAGCGGCATTTCCGGGAGTGGATATACTTCCTGTATTCTGCAAGCTGTTTCAAGTACATATTCGATGGCCATCTGTGTTTTTCAACAAAACTGCGTTCTTCCACTAAAATTTTTAGAAAAAGAAAGTTAATTGCATGATTTTATTTTTATGATTTAATATTTATAGCAAAGTAATATATGCATATACTTCTTGAAAACCACAGTGAATGTTCACACTCAAACCAGCAAGAAGACCCTGCCAACGCTTCCAATTCTCCTTGCATCCCTTCCATTTTTCAGATACAACTACTTTCAGCTCTTAGCTGCTTTTTCTGGGGCTTGCATTCAATGCAAGGTATTTCTCAATGTCTCTTGATGGATCAAATTTATAAACTAACTACTGCACTAGATGAAAATCAAGTTCTGCTATAAGCCCAATTCCCCATCTTTCTAAATTCATTATAATAAAATTCTACTTAAATACACAGTTACAATTTATTGTGCAAATTACAATTATATATATTGTTTCATACACTGGTTCATCAAGTAGTACCTAAATGTTCCTTTTCTTTTTCAAGAAAACTTTTGGTTTTCCTAGAGATGATAACTGACTTGCTCTTTCATTTACATTGCTTTGTAGCTAACTTGACCCTCCCAATGCTGCAAAGTCCTCTCAACTCTATTGTCTACCCTAGTCACAGTTATCAGATATCTGTTGTTCCAGCTCCCTGGGTCTCCCTTCTCATCAGAACCCTGAACCTCCACACATTCTATGCCTACGTCAATCTTTTGTGTCGGAAGCCTCCACCCCTGGACTCTATCCAGTTCCTTCACACTCTTTGTTCTCTGGTTTTGGTGGAACACGAGCTTTACTAGCTTCTTGAACAAAACAAAAACAAATCCACTACCATCAAGTCAATTCTGACTCATAGAAACCCTATATAGGGCTTCTGAGGCTGTTTATCTTTATGGAAGCAGAAAGCCTCATCTTTCTCTCTTGCAGTGGCTGGTGGATTTGAACTACCAACCTTGTTGTTAGCTTTCTGAAAACAAGGTACATAAAAAGTATTTTGAGACCACTCTTATGATGGTTTAGGCTTTTTTTCCCATTGTTATTTGCACATGATAGATCATTTGGTTTGGTAGAGATTTCGAAGAGGAAAACTTGTCTCAGAATATAGAAGACAGAACTCCACTGCTACTCAGACAGTCCTTAGGGGGTGACCTGTGTTGCTTTTCCGTTGTTTTTGTTTTTTAACCCTAGAAACTTTTAGATTTTTCTGTTTACTAACAGTGTTCTGATATGTTCCAATGATGTACGCTGTACACTCAGTAAGCTGAGCACTTAGCAAATCCTTTCAATCTGTTCTCTTAGGCCCCTTGTTGTTCTTAGGTGCTGTTGAGACATTTCCAACCCATAGTGACCCTATGTACAACAGAATGTGCCCTCCTCACAATTGCGGCTATGTTTGGGCCCATTGGTGCTGCCACTGTGCCAACACATCTTGTTTGAGTTCTCACTCTTTTTCGTTGAACCTCCATTTTACCAAGCATGATATCTTTCTGCAGGGACTGGTCCATCTGACATCAGCAATGATATCCATCTTTCCATGTCCTCATCTATATCTGACTTGAACTCTGGTAGTTCATTGTCAATGTACTATTGTAACCATTTTTGAATTTTTTTTAGCAAAAATTTACTTGCATGTGCTATTAATGATATTGTCCAATGATTTCTGCATTCTGTTGGGTCTCCTCTCTTTGGAATGGGGACAAATCAGTGCCCAGGTAGCTGTCTTAAAAATGTCTTGATATAGACAAATGAATGCCTCCAGTGCTACATCAGTTTGTTGAAAGATTTCAATTTGTATTCCATCAGTTCCCGGAGCCCTGTTTTTTGTCAATGCCCTCAGTGCACCTTGGACTTCTTTTCTTAGTACCATTGGTTTTGATCATATGCTACAGCTTGAAATAGTTGAACATTGACCATTTCTTTTTGGTACAGTGACTCTGTGTATTCTTTCCATCTTCTTTCGATGCATCATTCAATATTTTGCCTAAAGAATCCTTCAGTATTGCAAGTTGAGGCTTGATCTTTTCCCTCAGTTCTTTCAACTTGAAAAATGCTGAGCGTGTTCTTACCTTTTGGTTTTCTAAACTCCAGATCTCTGTACATTTTATGATATTTGACTTTTGTCTTCTCGAGCTGACTTCTGAAATTTTCTGTTTAGCTCTTTCACCTACTCAGTTTTTTCATTTGCTTTAACATCTCTATGATGTAGAGCAAGTTTCAGTGTCTCTTCTGACATCCATTTTGACCTTTTCCTTCTTCCTTGTCTTCTTAATGATGTTTTGCTTTCTTCCTATATGATGTTCTTGATGTCATCTCACAACTTTTCTGGTTTTTAATTATTAGTGTCTAATGCATCAAATATGTTCTTGATATGATCTATACACTCATATGGAGTATGTTCAGTGTCATATTTTGGCTCTTGTGGACTGGTTTTACTTTTCTTCAGTTTCAGCCTAAACTTGCATATGAGCAAATGATGGTCTGTCCCACAGTCTGCCTTGGTCTTGTTTTGGCTGATGATATGGAGCTTTTCTACCGTCTCTTTCCACAGATATAGTCAATCTAACTTCTGTGTATGTCATCTGATAAAATCCATGTGTATAATAGTGTCTCATGTTGTTTAAAAAGGTATTTGTAATGAAGAAGTCATTGCATTGGTCTTGCATAATTCTATCACGTGATCTCCAGCACCAAGTCACATTTTCCAATTACTGATCCTTTCTTTGTTAACAACCTTTTCATTCTAATAGCCAGTGATTATCAATACATGTTGATTGCATGTTCGATTGATTTCAGACTGAAGAAGTTTGTAGAGTTCTTCAATTTCATCATCACTACCTTTAGTGTTTGGTGCATAAATCTGAATAATAATAATATTAACTGGTCTTCCTTGTGTTGTTGTTAGGTGCCATGGTGATTCATAGTGACCCTATGCACAACAGAAAGAAAAACTGACTAGTTCTGCACCAACCTCACAATCGTTGCTACATTTGAGCCTAACGCTGCTGCTACTGTGCCAGTCCATCTCATTGGGGTCTTTCTCTTTTTCTCCAACCCTCCATTTTTACCAAACATGATATCCTCCTCCAGGGACTGGTCCCTCCTGACAATATGTCCCAAGTATGAAAGATGAATTCTGGCCATCCTGGCTTCCAGGGAGCATTCTGGCTGTACTTTTTCCAACACAGATCTGTTTGCTCTTTTGGCAGTCCACAGTACTTTCAATATTCTTCTCTAACACCATAGCTCAAAGACATCAATTCTTCTACAGTCCTCCTGATTCACTGTCCAACTTTTGCATGCATATGAGGTTACTGAAAATACCATGGCTTGTGCCAGGTGCACCTTACTTCTCAAACTGACAGCTTTGCTCTTCAACACTTTGAAGAGTTCCTGTGCAACAGACTTGCCTAATGAAATATGTCTTTTGATTTCTTGACTACTGCTTCTATGAGTGTTAATGGTTGATCCCAGCAAAATGAAATCTTTGACCACTTCAATTTTCTCCAATTATATGGATGTCATTTATTGGTCCAGTGGTGAGCAGTTTTGTTTTCTTTACACTGAAGTGCAACCCATGCCAAAAGCTGTGGTCTTTGATTTTCATCAGTAAATACTTTTAGTTCTCTTTGCTTTCAGCAACCAAGGATGTATCATCTGCTTGTTGGAGGTTGTTAATGAGTCTTCCTCCAATCCTGATGCCATGTTTTTCTTCATATAATCCAGCTTCTCAGATTATGTGTACAGCATACAGATTAAGTAAATATGGTGAGAGAATACAACCCAGGTGTACACCTTTCATAATGTTAAACAATTCAGTGTTCCCTTTTTCTGTTCAAACACTTGCTTCTTGTTCTATGTAAAGGTTCCTCATGAGTACAATTAACTGTTCCTTGTTGTTGTTATGTGCTGTCAAGTTGGTTCCAACCCATGGCGACCCTGCATAGGGTTTCTGAGGAGCAGCTGGTGAGCTTGAACAAGCAACCTTGTAGTTCAAACTACTTTGCATTTTGGTGCATTAACCCACAATGCCACAACTGGACTCCGTCAAGTGTTCCTTGTAGGCATATGGATATTATCCAATCACAGATATTATATTTCAGATAGCTTTTTAATTTTGTTTTTGAGGATGAATGCAAAACCATTGCTCTTCAATTTGTCATTCCCAGCATAGTAAGCTATGAGATTGTCATGAGTATCGATGGTTACAGCTATTTCTCCTCATTCTGAGTTGTGTACACAAACACAAGAAGGTCCAGTAAGCTTTACTCCATTCAGGTAATGTTGGTCAACTAGACTTTGAGGAGGCAGATCTTCCGCAGTTGTATTTTGAGTGCCTTCTAACCTTGGGGTTCATCACCTGGCATTGTATCTGACAATATTCTGTTAATACTCATCATGTTTCAATATTATGGTGCTATTTGACAGCATTTCACTGCTATTCATAAGGTTTTTTTCAGTGGCTAAACATTTGGAAGTAGTCCACCTTTCCTTTTCCGAGTCTGCCTTAGTCTGGGAGCTCAATTGAAAACTGTCCACCATGGGTGACTTTGCCTGCATTCAAAATACCAGTCACATAGCTTCCAGCATCACAGCGATGTGGAAGTCACCACAGTGTGACAAACTGATAGACAAATGGCAGGGTAACTTCTGGTATCGTTTCTTTGATAATTGCAATCACATTGGTTTTTTCCATCTGAACTTTTATCAGATATTGTAATTCCCAGATTAGGTCTTCAATTTTAAAAGAATCCTTCTTTCATGTCTTTTTATCTTTTTGTCCTGTTGTCTGACAGATTTTCTTACCTTTATCTCTCAAAGCTTCTTAGTTTTTTACTTGTTTGGCTTTGCTACCACAATTTTTACTTCCAAGAACACTTTGTTGTTCTTTATGGTTTCTACTTAACAACCTTCTGGTTTATGACTGTATATTATTTTTTTAGGATATTAAATTTAAGGTTATCTATATTTTTAAGCAAGATCCCATTTACTTTTAGTTTACTAAGAGTTTTATAATGAATGGAGATATGCAGTATGCTTTTTCTACATCT